ACGGCTCGGCTCTCGCGCCACTTGGGCCTCGGGGCGGGCGGGGGAAGGGGGGGGGGGAGAGGGGGAACAGGACAGGTCTGTGGCTGGGGTGTTAGGGGAAGGGAGAGGGAGGAAGGGGGGGGGGGGAGCGGGAGGGAGGTGCGCAAGCCAGATGATCGGTTTTCCTACCTGTGCCCGAGCATACTTCGGTGAACATTTTCCCTGCTCAGTTTTCCCGCTTGAATCTGCAAAACATCATCGGTAAATGTTTATATTAACCGATTCTTAGTATGAATCTGTCACGTTTTATTTTATTGTCTTCTCCTGTGGCTACCGCCATGGGCAGAGCGCGAAGGCAGAACTATTTGAATTACATATGTAGTAAAATGGATCACATATGCCGTGAAGAGCATTCAACCATATGGACTATGGCAGCCTTGGGTTACTAATTCAACTCAGTTCACTAGATATATTTTACGGAATTCTTTTATAAGAAAATAGTTGCCATGTTGGGAGTACGTATCAACATCGTTAAATGCTCTGATAGGACGGATCGGAATGACGTCAGAGAGAACGCGTTTTCTGATTGCAAACGCCACGTGTGTTTGCCTTTTGTGATTCTGTGGTTAAGAAAAAAGAAGAAAAAAATCCTTAATTCTATATGGGTCATCGTCACATCCGGATGTTTGCTTTGTTGATCTAGGAAATATTTTTCGGAAGGAGCAATTCAATCAACGACCATTTCCTTTCGCAAATAGTGGCCCTGAACGTGATAGGAGAACATACAATAATAGTTCTTACAGCCGTAGGAAAATACCCCGCGCACGAGTCGAGATACAAATTTTCCTTCTACCTCTAGGTCACAGAAGAGTACGTCACACACAGTCTGAACTCCATTCCAGAAAGAAAATTAAAAAAAAAGACGAACCTTTACCGCATTGCTAAGCTGCGGGGGAGTTCTCAACAGAAAACGAACTCCAAAGAAAACGTGAATCAGTGCAACTCTCGGCGCCATCGAGTCTGAACCGAAACATCCTTCGCTCTCCGGCCGATGTAACTTGCCTGAGTCATCCGTGACATCTTCAGAGGAAAAGAGGCGCGGTGTGCCGAGCCGTGAGAATGTCGCGTGGCCGGCAGTGGCTAGAATAGGAAGACAGCGCCAATGCCTTTGGTAATAGAGACAGAAAGGAAATGACAAAGTTAGTATGTATGGTTGGCTTCGAATGTCCCCTTGACCGTCCAATGGCAAGACTAACTAGCCGTTGTTAAATGACGAATTGTGCAAAAATAATAATAATAATAATAATAATATTAATATATTATGGCTTTAAGAGATGCAACTGCCTTACGAGACGAAGGCACAAACAACTGCAGGAAGACGGGAGAGGCAGGAAGGAAATACATGTCTGTTTGCTGTGTCAAGGTCGAAGAAAAGTCAATTAAAATGCAACTAGCTTGGTCTCATTAAAATAATGTTCAATGTCATTCAGAAGGTGTAAATGGTTATACATTATATAAATTTGATGAGCAGCGCTTGATCTTCGTCGTATATATATATATATATATATATATATATATATATATATATATATATATATATATTATATATATATATATATATATATATATATATTTATATATATATATATATATATTTATTTATTATTTTATTTATTTATGTACATTTTTTTCCAGACGTGCTATGCGCTTAGCAGCAGGTGTCTGTAGTACCGTTTTTTTTTATCTTAGTCTAGTTTACGTTATCAGTGAACAATAGTAGCAGCAGGCACTTTGTCGAAAATCATATTTCGAACGCATGACAATGGATATAGTTATTAGACACAATCTTTATCACTAGATACTTTATCTCTGTAAAAAAAATAACACTGTCGCAAACACACACACACGCTCATACATTTACACACACACACACAGACACATACATAAACAAACACATACACTCACACACACACATACACACACACACACACATACACACACACAACACACACACACACACACACACACACACACACACACACACACACACACACACACACACACACACACACAACAAACAAACACACAAAACAAACGCACACACAATCTAACATACACACACACAACCAAACACACACATCTATTAATAGCAACGTCATTCATTAAAAGGAGATGCACTGATACACTAACCGCAAGACACTCACAGAAATACCGAAAGCTTGAGACCGAAGAAAAATGTCAGCTGTTGAAATGGGAAATGAATTCATCTCTACGACGAAAATGGTCGTCTGTTTTGCCAGCTGGGTGACTCAGCGCTTGGGACCGAGGAGGGGGGGAGGGGAGAGACCGAAGCAGGGGGAAGGAGAGGAGGGGGAGGGAGAGAGACCGAAGCATGGGGGAGGAGGGAGGGGGAGAGAGAGAGAGAGAGAGACCGAAGCATGGGGAGAGGAGGGGGGGAGAGAGAGAGAGAGGGATAAGGGGGTGGGATGGTAGGTGGGAAGGAGGGGAGGGGGAGAGGGAG